ATTGATTCACGAAAAAAAAATATAATAGTTCTAAAATCTTCATAGGTTACTATGATAGCTGGCTTCATCCAATGATTGCTTCGTTTCTCATCAGTTTCTAAAGTGGCTTATGGAGGTTCCATTAGCCGCTATAGGTAACCTATTGCACTAACGTACCTCCACTATTGGTGCGATTATCCTATATACTTACTTGATACTTGATGGGCTACGAATCGCCAGGTTGATTCAACGCCGAACGAAGTACTCTTCTCCATTGGACTCGGTCCTGAGCCAATCGCTTCCAGTCGCCATGAACGTTTAGCGACCTGATGTCCTCCTCAACTGCAAATAGCCAACGTGTCCGAGGTCTACCCCGGAGTCGACGACCTCTACCGGGTTCTCTGCTGAATATAATATTTGCTTGTCGTTCTTCCGGCATCCGCACTACATGCCCAGCCCACCGTAGTCTGCCGTGTTTTATAAGCTTCACTATATCCGTACCGTTATACACTTGGTACAACTCGTGATTCATGCGACGCCGCCAGATGCCATTCTCCTGTTTACCGCCGAGTATTGTTCGCAGCACCTTACGCTCGAAGACACCAAATGCTCTCCGGTCAGACTCTTTTAACGTCCACGATTCGTGGCCGTAGAGGGCTACCGGAAGTATCAGCGTCTTATACAGAGCGAATTTCGTTTTCGTTTGCAGGCTACGGGACTTCAGCTGGCTACGTAATCCGTAAAAGGCCCTGTTTGCAGCTGCAATACGTCTCTTCACCTCGCGGGTAACATCATTATCGCATGTCACTAGTGTTCCAAGATACACAAATTCTTCCACTACCTCACATTGTTCACCATCTAACAACACTACACTACCAACACCACTATTGCTCCCACGCTGTCTACCGGCTACCATGTACTTCGTTTTGGTAGAACTTATCGTGATCCCAATCCTCGCCGTCTCCCTCTTAAAAGGCACAAACGCCTCTTCCACTGCTCTACGGTCAATTCCGATGATATCGATGTCGTCCGCAAAGGCAAGGTGCATGTACGATCGTGTGATGATGGTACCGTTCCTCTGCACACCAGCTCTCCTAATCGCTCCTTCAAGAGCAATGTTGAACAGTAAGTTTGAAAGTGCATAACCCTGCTTCAATCCATCTAAGGTCACGAACGAGGTCGAAATCTCATCTGCAACCCTTACACTTGATTTCGATCCATCTAGCGTTGCGCGAATCAGTCTAATTAGTTTCGCCGGAAAACCATGTTCTAGCATAATCTGCCAAAGCTCATTTCTCTTCACTGAATCGTATGCTGCTTTGAAATCAATAAACAGATGGTGAGTCTGCAAGTTGTACTCCCGGAATTTATCAAGGATTTGACGCAGGGTAAACATTTGATCCGTCGTTGATCGGCCCTCACGAAAACCAGCCTAGTATTCACCGACGAAGGACTCCTCAAGCGGTCTCAATCTGTTAAACAGAACGCGTGACAGTATTTTGTACGCCGAATTCAGAAGAGTTATTCCTCGATAATTGGCGCACTCGAGTCTGTGCCCTTTTTTGAATAATGGGCAAATGAGGCCATCCAACCAGCTAGCAGGCAGTTCTTCGTCCTCCCATATCTTCGTTAGAATACGGTGGATTGCTTGATGCAGCTGCTCACTTCCGTGTTTGAAAAGTTCGGCCGGGAGCCCGTCCTTCCCAGCAGCCTTATTGTTTTTCAGCTCACGTATTGCCTTTTTAACCTCGTCTAGCGTTGGAGGCTCCACAGCTTGATCGTCGTCTGCGATGTTTACTCTGTTCCTCGATACTCCCTCACTCTCTCCATTCAACAATGTCTCAAAATGTGCTTTCCACCTGGCAGCCACCATTGTTTTATCTGTCAGCAAATTCCCCTCAAGGTCATTGCACATGGCGGGAGATGGCGCTGTTTTACTCCGCACACCATTGACAGTCGCGTAGAACCTTCGCATATCGTTCTGTTCCATACTTTCTTGCGCCTCAGCAATCACGCGTTCTTCGTATTGCCTTTTCTTTCTGCGGTGGGTTCGTTTCTCAGCTGCCCTTGCTACCTTGTACCGCTCTCTGTTCAGCCGGGTACCAGACACTAACATCCGGCTTCTGGCAACGTTCTTCTCATCCGTCAACCTCTGGCACTCCTCATCAAACCAGCCATTACGTGGTCGTCTTTGAGCTGTACCTATCACTTCTTGTGCTGTTGTGTTCACCGCTCCGTGGATTGTGTTCCACAGATTGTTGAGGTCCTCGTTCACGTTGATTTCGCTAATCCGCTCATCAAGCTTCTGGCGGTACTCTGCAGCAACACCTTCTACTGACAAGCGATGGATATTGAAACGCATCGATCTCCGGTTCGTTGAATTCGTAACGGTCGATAGACGCGCCCGAATTTTGCAGACAACAAGATAATGATCTGAGTCAATGTTAGGCCCCCTAAAAGTCCTTACATCAATGACATCTGAGAAGTGCCGGCCATCCACCAACATGTGATCGATCTGGGTGCAAGTTTCGCCATTTGGGTGTCTCCAGGTGTGCTTTCGGATATTCTTGCGTGCAAAGTAGGTGCTACTGATGGCCATACCTCTAGCAGCGGCGAAGTTTATCAGTTTCAGGCCGTTATCATTGGTTACTGTATGTAGGCTCTCTGTACCAATGATTGGACGAAAGAAATCTTCCCTCCCGACCTGCGCATTTGCATCTCCGATTACAATCTTCACGTCGTGTTTTGGGCACTCATCATAAGTTTTATCGAGACTGTCATAAAACGCGTCCTTCACGTCATCGGATTTATCGTTGGTTGGCGCATAGATGTTGATCAGGCTGTAGTTGAAGAATTTGCCCCGAATCCTTAATACACAGATGCGGTCGCTTACCGGTCTCCACCGCATAACACGCTTCATCTGCTTCCCGATCACTATGAACCCTACTCCATGTTCTGCCCTATCGCCACCGCTGTGATAGATATGATACTTGAAGGAAGTGTTGGCGGTGGGATCCACCGCCCGGAATTCACGTTCTCCGGATCTAGGCCACCGTACTTCCAGCTACGCTCACATTCACTTTTTGCAGTTCACGAGCCAAAAGGCCCGCTCGTCCAGGTTCATTTAAGGTTCTGACATTCCAAGTACCGAGTTTCCATTCATTGTCCTTATTTCGTTGCCGGGTCGGTTGCCGAAAATTCCGTTCGTTGTTTTCTCTTTCTTCGTTTTTCTGAGTAATGTTGGGGGTTTCAGTATGCTACCTTACCGGGGTCGCGATACCTACATCATGTTGGTGGGGCTGCCACCTTAGGTGTAGCTGACGTGATACAGCATTTCTTATTCAGCCGCTCGCTCCGAGACAGACGCTGTTTGAGCCGCACCTCCATGGTGAACAGACGCTCGAGGGTCGCACCTCCTCACTTTGCTATCACCACGATCCGGATCCATGTTTTTATCGTGGTGACATTGCCCAGGCTACGCTACCAGCATCTTTTGCTGGCGGTCTTTGTCATCGGCTGACCCGTGGAAGCGTGAGGTAGGAACTTGTGAGGACCAGAGCTGTTGGGACAACACTCCTTTCAGTTTGTCGATTTGTAGCGATTATCCTATATAGAAAGTAGAAAGCGAGCAAAGGACAAAGAAGGAGGAAGGTACGAGAATCGGGTCGAGCATCCCTTTCACCAAACTCATCCGTTGATGAAGGATGGTGATGGGTATTGCCCCCCGCAACCACTGGCAAAAGGGATGATCGCCGATTCGTTCCACCTTTATGTCTGATATTGACGTTAAGCTCCAACTACGTAAATCGCATGAAGTAATTAAACATAATTAGTCTAGGGGTAAGACAGCTTTTGATAATGGATCATACTGGAGTAAATTTTGAGTAACTCTGAGTAACTCCGAGTTGCTCAATATTCAATGCACGGTGACATAGTAACCTGTTTATTTTGTGTGCATTCCACGATTGTGAAGCAAAGACGTTTGACGAGGAAAATCTACGTCCATCATTCAACAACATTATATACCGGATTGCCATCCACAAAACCTGTGTCGCAGCATGCAAAATCTGTGTATGCTTATTATTGGTTGATGATGATAATTAATGGATTTTCAAGTGAACATGGAGTTGTACCATAATTTAACGTCTTGGTGATGCACATGGTAGGCATTCCATTGTGTACATTTTGGCAGATTGCATACCCACCAACAAGATTCAAAATGTTTCAGTGCTACATAAAAGTTTCACTTCACGTGGCATTAAAGACTACGGCTTTGTGATTCCAGGATCGTATTGCCCACGAATGAAAACCGAAGTTTTTGATGGTAGACTGTGGAGGGCAATAATCATTAAAGAGTTGCAGTTTTCCATGAAGGGCATCTGCTAATAGATCATTGTCTAGTCACATATACAAATTTACTGCTCTATCAGAACAATTAAAACTAGAATTCACAACTCATTTTAACTTATTTATAGAAGATGCTAAAATTAACAATTGAACATCCTTGGCAACCTATCATAAATCGCGCTAAATAACGGGTTCGTTTCTCGGGATCATATCAGAAATATCTTTTTCTGATTTTCAACTTTATTGTCCCACCATAGTAGAGATCACGCATAAAGAGTAAAAATTCACACCGAAAAGAAATACACACGGATTAATGAGTATTTGAGGCAACAATACAAAATAAAATACGGATAGGATCACTCCGACACTCTGACAGATAATGTATGTTTATACTGATTTAATTTTTGATTTATGGATGAATATGAGACTGCTTTGATCACTTTTGAGTAAATATGAGTTACTAAAATTTACTCGCTGTGAAAATATTAACGCTGAGTACAGCCGTCTTGCCCCTAAGTAAATAGTTAAAGAACTATAAGTCATTATTTGGTCACTTATTTCTTGGTCATGGTCACTAAAATCACTATCTTTGACAATTGATCGCTACCAGCCCTGCAATCGATCGCCGCTTCATTTCCAAAGTACTAAACCAACTCAATTTTCCCCCATTCCAGGTCCTCCAGCGAATCGACGACGTCCAGTTGATGTGCGACAAACGGGTGACCGTGCTGAAGAAGCTCACCCTGAAACCGCCGCGCCCGGTGCAAACCGTAACACCGGAGCCGGCAGTCCCGCTGCAGCCTCCCGGAGGAGCACCCCATCCCATCTTTCGAACGCGCCGCTCGTACAACAAGGTAAGACCAGACCTTCTTATGCAGTTCAGTTATGCAATTACGGATGGTAAAAGCAAAAGGTGAACGTGTGGGAATGCAAATCGAAACGCGACGCCGAAAACTAGAGTCCGAGCCCTACTGGACCCGATTTGCAAATTTAACGGGAACCCGTTGGCCTTGGCCAAATTGCGAAACCGGGTGGGGAAAAGAATGGTCGCAAGCTGTGAAAAGTAATTTTCTTTCCCGTGGTTTTAAATTTGCAAGAAGAAAAGAAGCTGAGCGGTGAGCTAAAAGTTGTAGCGCGGGGAAAATAACATCTGATTGAATTGTTGCTACCGTGTGTCTAGTAGTTGCCGTTGTTGTTACACAAAGTGAGTAAGAGTAATTTTGTATACATCATAGTGCCCACATGACGATGGCTGTGGCGATTATGTGTAAAGTGTGTGTGTGTATGTTTTGTGTTTGTGTATGATGGACTGATGGGATAAGAATTGAGGCAACTTGTTCGGGTCTCAGATTCCCAGTGCTTGGGAGATTGCCGCTTTTAGAAAGTCGTCACAATGTTGTATGGTGGCGTTTTTTTATGAACCTTGTTGGAGGTGCATAATGACTGCTACGAGGAGGAGTTGCATAAACGATACGTCAACATTCGCAAATGGATAATGATTTCGGTTGATTTATGTCCTATCAGAAGATTGTGCAAAACTAGTTTTTGGTAGATGTCAGTGTAGATAGTCAACTTTTTGAGCAACCCACCCATATTGTGTAACAAAGAGGAAATGCGAGATTGTAATTTTTCGAATCAATTTCAGTAGTCCATGGGTCACTTACCCGGTGGTTGCTGTGTGCCACTCTGTTGCTAAGGAAGTTCAATTTCCCTGAAATCGTAGCAGCCATTGACTGTTTGCCATAATGATAGTACTTCTGCTGGATCGACGAAATAATCCATGTACAGATTTCTATCAGTCAGTGGATTAAGATAATGAAATTTGCATCCTGCTCGCTCGCTAAAGCCGCATGATGAACCGCGAAGAAGATGAGCAGAAAAATTGATCTACATTACGCACGCGGATCGAGCGTTACGCGATGCCTGTGTCTGTGGTAAAATTAAAGCTTTTCTCAATATCAGCCGGACGGATCGATGCCAGGCCAGTTGATGTTCGATATCGTCGTCGACGTAATGCAATCTTCAGTTTTTTTGTTTGTTTCATTTTGGTCGATATGTTTCACCATGGTAACACGATAAGCCGAGTGTTGCTAAATCGAGAAAATTTTAATTGGATCAAAGTGAACCCCTACCGATGATTAGATGATTCAATCGGATCTGGACGGAATCGGATCTCCGGCTCCACCCCGGCCCTACTTTGGCAATGCTCATCAGCTACCGGCAAAACAAACAAAAAACCATTCCAATTAAATGCTTTGCTTATGATTTTGCATAAGTTGCTTTAGTTAAAGGAGGAAAAAATGTTGCGCAATTTTTCCCATCCACCATCAACCAAATTAGGCAAATTAGTATTATAAACAATCATAAGATGTGCTGTGCATACCCTATATGGATATAAATGCATTGTAGCTGCTGCAGGCACCCACACGATTGCTCTCTCTCTCTATCTCTTTCTTTCTTAATTTCGTACGGAGCCAGCAACAATGGGAAGGAAGTTGATGGCAGCAATGTGCCACGAATGGATAATTGTTTCTGCGCCTACTGCAGCTTTGCCTTGCGATAAGAAAATGCAACTACACTGTCAATTAAAAAACGCTCATTTTCGGTTGATGGAAGCGGATCTGCATGTGTGCGTGCATGTCATTATGGTTGTTTTTGTTTTTTGTTTTGATAAGCCAAACGTTTGAGATCGTAAATGGTTTTGATCATTGAACCATAGATTATGCAAAGCTTGGAGAACGGTGAATTATAATTTGAACAAATGTGATGGATTAGCGGTTCCGTTTAACTTTATTCGCAGTTACTATGCGGAAATTAAACTTAATCCAAATTTAGCATACTCTTCGTTTGTTAACTAGTTGCAGTCATATTGCGCTGGGCGTGATAAGATAATTAAGCTCCCAATTATACATTTTGTTTGAAAGCTGCACAGTTAAAATTGTTTCTTGTCAAAAATCTAAACCTGTACTGTACAAATCTCGTATTCAACAGGTGCAGCGTTGTCACGTTATGGTTTATATAAAAAAATAAATAAAACAGCAATAAAGGTTATCTTCCATTTAATTGTATAATAATTGCATATACAGGGTGTTCGGTTCCGGGTTTCATATATTGTTAGGGTAGGTAGGGCTCCCAAAGTTATGAAAAATCTCCATGAAACATAAGCTTGGAAATGACTGCTAAAGTGAATTATTCAACATTCTATGTTTTGTCTCATAGCTGACTTTGGTTAGCTATATTTGTTCAATCTTAATTTGTTTTTCTATTAATATTTAGATATTAAAATTTGAAAAGGGCATATTTTTCAGTAGAAAAACGTCAATAACTCTTGTTCAAGGAACATATTCTAGTTATGATTTTGTGTGTATTCAAGTTGAATCAATAATCATTTTTAAATTTTGGCCCACGTCTTACGGTATTGCATATTTTTCAGAGCGGAAGGGAGAGAAGTAGGTAGGGTAAACGCTCCTATAGTTGCGGTACGTTAGAAGCGTTAGGTTCCTATAGTTTCCGCAACTATAGGAGCGTTTCCCCTAGTGGTTATAAGTCGATATCCCTTTTATTTCATTGCACTCGCAGGTCAGCTGCGGTGCTATTTACATAGATGGAGAAGTATGCAGCTCAGCTACTTTTGCATGCTGCTGTAAAGAGGCTAGCATCCGCGCCTCTTATGTCGTAAGGACCAGTGTTTCGGATGGGCAAGGGCTAGTGAATGCCACCCACCATCTCTAATAATTCAATAATACATTATTTTATCATCTGTTTACAAAATTTGACCTTGGACGTAGGGTCCCATAATTCTGATACCTGCTCTCATAATTCATCAAAGTCCCAGAAATGTTTTACGGTTCATTAAAAAATCGAACACTACTAGGACAAACGCGATCGTTCGAAATGGATCTGTTGGTCGACTAGTGAAAAATGGGAAGCAGAACATAAAATTGAGATCTAGGTAAAACATTCAAGATCTGTAATTTCGAATTTTGGCGACAGGTTCGAGACATACAAGCTTCAGGAAAAGTTATGTGAAAAGAAGGAAGGCAAATTTCATAGAATATTTCTGAGAACTTTTTAGAAGCTAGAATTTCGGAAAAGCTTTGCAAACATTAGAGAAATTTAGCAAAAATCATAGAAAATATACGAATTAAAAAAAACATCCTACAGAAAATATGCCAACTTCAGAAAAAATCTGCGGAATTAAAAGAACTTCTAAGAACTTCAAAAGACGATCTTAGAAATTTAGGATATAAATGTAAACTTCAGCAATCAGGATTTTGAAGTTCCGTGAGCTTAAAAAAAATAACATTCAGAGAAGATCACAATGCCACACAAAATTTCTTAAAAGTTTTGGGAAGTTCTGCTTAGATGCGATTTTTTTTCTAGAATTCGAGAAACTTAAAGGGTGATACGGTCGAAATTTGATCAAGGGAAAACGCGTGTAAATCGGTGAAATCGTTTATTTAAAAAATCAAATTAAATTTCTTTTTCAAGTTCAATTAGTATAAAATTCAGTTAGGCATCCGCTTTTCCAAATCCGAATTGCCGGGCCTTAGTTTTTTTGGTCTTCTTTAGGTTCCGCTTGACAATAGCCCAGTATTTCTCAATTGGGTGGAGCTCTGGCGTGTTGGGAGGGTTCTTGTCCTTGGGAACCACCTGCACGTTGTTGGCGGCGTACCACTCCATGGCCTTTTTACCGTAATGGCAAGATGCCAAATCCGGCCAAAACAGTACGGAACAACCGTGTTTCTTCAGGAAAGGCAGCAGACGTTTATTCAAACACTCCTTCACGTAAATTTCTTGGTTGACAGTCCCGGAAGCTATGAAAATGCTGCTTTTCAAGCCACAGGTACAGATGGCTTGCCAAACCAGATATTTCTTTGCGAACTTTGACAGTTTCATGTGCTTGAAAACATCTGCTACCTTTCCCCTTCCTTTTGCCGTATAAAACTCCTGTCCCGGAAGCTGCTTGTAGTCGGCTTTGACGTAGGTTTCGTCGTCCATTACCACGCAGTCAAACTTCGTCAGCATCGTCGTGTACAGCCTCCGGGATCGCGCTTTGGCCGTCGTATTTTGTTTATCATCGCGATTTGGAGTCACTACCTTCTTGTAAGTCGATAGTCCGGCTCGTTTTTTGGCTCGATGCACGGTTGTAGACGATACACCCAGCTTATTTGCGGCATCTCGGAGAGAGAGGTTAGGGTTTCGCTTGAAACTGCAGGCAACTCTCTTTGTCGTCTCAGCGGCTTCCGGTTTTCGATTTCCCCCCGATCCAGACTTCCTGGCTGTCGACAAACGTTCCCCAAACACTTTAATTACATTTGTAACGGTTGATTTGGCAACTTTTAGCGATTTTGCCAACTTTGCGTGCGAGTAGCTCGGATTTTCGCGATGCGCGAGCAAAATTTTGATACGCTGCTCTTCTTGCTTGGACGGCATTTTGACAACTGAAGAGTGAATTCCAAAATCAAAATAGGAGCAACATTCTACACACACACACACCTTCAAAATGAGGGGTGTTCAGGTTTTTTAAATGCAAAATTGAAAGAAATACGTCAAGTTGATATTGACCAAATTTTGACCGTATCACCCTTTATGCTGATAGAGCTTAGCATTTTGGATCCTGTCGGGGTTGCAGGTTTTTCGTGATAAAAGGAAGTGCGGATAAAAGTGTTCATTTGATCTCAGGCGTTAGCGAAAATTCGGGTTGATTCGTTGAGGTACTTCGAGAATCGTACCGTACGGGAGTCCTCTGAGATTTAGTCTCACAGTGTCTGGCAAGTTTAACACGACCGGTGGTCTCTCTTCGTGAGAGTGGCGCTTATAACACCGTGTTTACAATTATCTCAGGAAGTTT